TCTAACTATTACTAGTTACTTTTTAAAAGTAACTTGCCCAACACTGATTAAAGGCCCAGATACACCGGCCCGAAATCTGCAGTAAATGGGAGTCGGGCCGAACATGAGCGTTGGCACGGCCTATTCGGAGTCGTGTGCGCCGCACCGTCGGGTCTTTTCTGCCGACCTGACCCCTTTTCTTGCCGATTCAACATGTTGAATCGGCGTCGAGAACACCACCGGAAGTCGGACAAAGGGATAACACTGATTGGCTGTTCAGCTAGCGAATCAGTGCATGAGAAGCGTTAACGGAAGTGAGGGAGGTAAACAAATGATTTAAAATGGAAGATGGAACACACACGGACGGCTATTTCACCTCATCGGTTTATAGAGCTCCTGTTCGTTCAGGTTTTCAATGGACGAGAGTGAAAATGGAAAGAAAAACGCTATTTGTTGTTTGTTTATATCATGGAGTCTGTTCTTCTTCTCTGTCTTCCGGTTGTTCCGGTTGTTGCCTCTTTTGAATGATGAATACACACTACCGCCGCCTGCTGGTAAGGAAAGTTATTGCCACTCACTTATACGCAGTTCATACGTGCTCGGGTCGGATTTGCAGTGTGTTCCAGTGCGCGAAGTCGGCAAATACGCAGGAGAGTCCGGCGACGCAACAGTCGGTGTCGGCGACTTCTCAGGTGACTGGCCGGTGTATCTGGGCCTTAAGACCCATGGCATTTATTTTGCTAGAGCCTTGTACATTACATACAGATATACGCAACTTATTTTATTAAGGTGATCTATCATTTAAAATGACCTGACGTTAATAGGAGCTTTGCTGCATTGTCTCCCTTCTTTCTGTCCAGGATTTTTAATTAGCTCCTGGGGATATTTTTAGTGGCTCTCTTGATGATTTAATTAGGTTTACAAATTATAACTTTTTAACCGCCTTGTCTCCCTTGGACCGTGGCAGCACAATAAACACAATCAGACATTCCCCCTGCAGAATTGCATTAGGGGTTTGGCACTGCCGGAGAGCGGGGCTGGAAACTGTCGAGCTAGCTGGCATCAAGGAGCTCCTGTTACCGGTAAAGGAGGAAAACTCCCAGCGCTCTGCCAATCCAAAGCACACACACACACACACACACACACACACACACACACACACACACACACACACACACACACACACACACACACACACACACACACACACACACACACACACACACACACACACACACACACACACACACACACACACACACACACACACAGTCACACAGTAACATGCAAACTCCCAATTACACTCCTATTCCTGTAGAGATGGTTTTTAAACCTCTCCTGACACAAAGATGTAGCAGGAGGTAGGGGTTAGCTCACTGCCATGGCAACAAAACGGCCTTCAAATGGTCAGGAATGGGAAAGGGACAGTCGGAAAAAATGGACTTTTATATTTTAATAAAAGGCTCTGAGTTTATTCCCAAATAATACGACTCAGTGGGGTAGAAGTTGGAACATCGTGAGCCTGGGAAGTGTTCTAATGCTTTCTTCTCTCATATTGGATTATGCTCTGATGTTGGAAAATCCTGCAGAATTAAAATGATTTCATTTCACGGGCACCTTGTGCTGTAATAAATACTCTCTCTCTGCATGACCTCTGGATGAGCAGACACGGTCGGCGTCGCTTCTTCAACTCCTGTCTACTACAGGTTTTCAGTTTTAAGTGCAGGTGATGCGCTTATGTCCAATTCCTTTCATGGTTTTGGCCAAAAATAATTATTGGGAGTGTGTCCACTTTAATCTTTGATTAGCTCTTCCAACATATGTCCAGAGTGAGATGACAACCAACAAATCTCGTCTGGTTTGCTTTTTGGAAGAAGAGTTATTGTGGTTTGAGTTTTCTGTCGAATTGAGATTGTTATGAAGTGTTGTCATCAGCAATATATTTTTGGTTAATTCTCTACTTTTGATTATTGGATATTGACAAAACTATCTGGACAATGTTGCTCCTTCATAAGACTTCTTAGTGCTCAGTGTGTGTGTTTGGACGTTACGCAGCGACCCGTTGATGCCGATGTGGCCAAAAGTACGTTCTTCTGAGCGCTCAGAGTTCATTCCAGTTCATCCTAAAGTGTTGGACGGGGTTCTCATGACATAACTGTCCACTGAGACAACACTGTGTTTATACAATACACACAATGCTGCAGGAAAATGACAAACTACTCATACAATATTAAAAATCATGTCTTTGTTTGTGCAAAGCCGAGTCCTCCCGAGGTATTCTAACAGATGCAACTAAAAAATAAAACTCTTCTATTGTGCGATAACAAAAATATAATTCACTTTGATGGACAATTTTCAATATTGTCAGACATTAAAATAATACAAAATAAATCAAACAGTAAACAAGAAAAAATTATGTAACCAAATAAAATAGCCTTAAGTTGCTTTGCTGAGAGTTACTTTTTCTCCATACAGACTAATAATAATAATTGTTATTATAAGGTTAATAATCACAACAATAATGAAAACAATAATAATGTATAAGATATGTAATGATTTGTTCATTGGTAAATCAACAGATACCTTTTTTTTATTAGCAAATTGTATGACGCTTTGTTATACTTTATCTTTCTTCTTTTTAAATACAGGAATATTCCAAACCGGTGTCTTGACCCTGAAACGAGATGTTACATTTTGATGTGACACAAGGCTTCACTTAGTGAAAATGTTACACCCAAATCCAAATGGAATCCCTCTGTGTCCACTCTACTCTGTTTGAACTATAAAATAAGGTCTCAGTATAGCAGTTTTTAATAGATCCAAATTCACATATTTCTTGTTTATGCTTCCTACAAGCCATTTATCTGTTCAGACCTTTAGAAGACGTTAAAATTCCCAGCAACAAATTGAACTAAATTAAAAGTGAGGAAAATTACGGCTATCCTCGCTCTATTGACGGATGTGGCTCCTACAAGAAACAAATGTGTGGTTATTTCACACAGATCTGCAGTGATACTTTTGTGGTCTATATCATTGTTTTTAAAAGCAACACAAACATATTGGTGTTAAATATAACTGACAAGGGAAACACTGATATTAGGGGCTTAATCCAGCCTGGAGATGTGTGTGTCCTCCTTGCAGACTAGTCAAACTAGTTCCCATTCAAGCTATCTGCATATATTTTTTCAGTATGTGCAGAATGTGAATACAGCATGTGTTCCTGCATTTTGCCATATGCTGGTGTGTAGCTGTAATCTGCCGTCAGTCAGTCTGTTCTGTGTGTGATCAGCCTCTCAGCATTCCTCAGTGACAGCCGCAGGGCCAAGGCTTCTGTAAATAGCCTCTGGGTCGCTGCTGCTTCTCTGGGATCTGAAGGTGTTGAGACTCTGAGCTCAGGAAGAGCGTTAGTGCCTCCCTGTGGTCAGAAACTCATGGGTTGTGTACAAACAAGGATCATACCTGGGAGTTAGGAGCAGTGTTAATGCTTAATTGGCTTTTTTCTCTCGTATGTTATCAGGAGCGTGAGCTGAAATTCATTTTGAATGCAAAGTGAAGGAGCTACTTCATTAAGCTCATTATAAGCTTAGTTTTGCTAATTTAACATTTATTTAGACATTTAAAATGTGTATATTGGACTTTTTATTTTTTCTAGTCTGGAAAATAGCTCAAAAGGGCCAAACTCTCCTAATTGACCTATATGAAAAACCTTGTTTCATGTAGGTAAATTAGGAGAGTGTCTCGCCTAAATTCAGACATTTAGTCATCCTCAACCTGCAAATCACCAAATTAAATCGTAATAGAAAAGCAGACATTGCGGTCTCTCAATGCAATACAATGTTTTTATCCAAACTCTTTACAAGTCATCCTTCCCATCTTTTCTTGATCATTTTCCATCAAGGGCAAAGATGTTTACCAAAGTAAGAACCTTTTGGATTCTTTCTCCCCTGCAGTTCTCCATCACTGGGTGTCTTCTAACTTCTAACTCTTAGTAGAACCTCCAGCAGCTGTCAGTTACCCAAACCCTAGTGAAGCTTCTCTTCTCACAGTAAAAGGAAACGGCTCACCAGTTGTCCTTTCTCTGATCTTATCATATTATTAGACCACAGATACCAGTCACCTCTCTGTGTAATGTGGATTCTGTTTTAAAACTGTCTGGTTTTCATTGGTTGTTTTTCTTTTGTATATTGGAAGACCTTTAACAAAACTCAAGTGGTAATTCTTCTGTATTAAGGGTAATTCAAACATCATGCCTCATGTTTTCTTTCTGTTCTTGTATATCATCGATTTTACTACATTTTGCAAGCTAGCTCTTTTACAATTGGTGGAAACATATCACTAATGCCTCAGGTACAACTACAGTTTAAATACAGAAAAATACAAGTAAGTCCTCCTCGATAAACAACAATAGATCTTAAGTATTGACTTCAAAAACTATTCCGAAGATCAACTGTTTGAGGATCTTTCACTGCTCTGTGTTTAAGGTTTGGTAAAGTTCAGGCAACCAAAACTATTTGGTTATAAGGTCAGGGAGAATCATGGTCATGGTTAAAAGAAGCCAAAGTCAACTGTAGGAAAAAGGAAAACATGCAAACAGATGTGTGTGCAGCTCACAACCACTCACAAGGTTTCCTAGTGGAATAACGCTTCATCTGCTTCTTTTTTTTGTGAATATTTTTGTGTTTTTAGACAAATGTTAAAACAGGTTAAATGTGTTAAAACAAATGACCACTTCTGAAAATGTTGCATTGTGTCCTTATTAAAGGTTAAATGAGTTGCACACCAACTAAATCTCCCAAGCATTCACAGGTCTGAATGTTGAGAGGTTTCTACAGCAGCTCAGCACTTGTGTTATCAACACACACACTCTCCTGCCTCAGATTCTTGGCATGACTTCCTAGTGGTAAAAAAGGAAACATTGCCCCCCCTTCGCCTCCCATAATCCTCTGCTGTGTACCATCCCCAAATTGAGAGGAGCTCAGGTCCACTTTAGGTTTCTTGTTCTTGCCTTTTGATGTGAGACAGCAGGACTGAGCAAATCTCGTATCAACACTATAGTTTGATTCTCTAGAGTAGACAGTGCTGCTACTCTTCAGCCCTGTCTTTCCACATATTATGCGGTACTAAATGGGGGGCTGTGATGCCCCCTACAGAAGAGCCACCTGTCATCATGAATAACTCTGGTTTCCGTGGTTGTCGCACTATCTCGCAGCACCTGAACGACCTGAAGAAGGAGAACTTCAGCCTGAAGCTGCGGATCTACTTCCTGGAGGAGAAGATCCAGCAGAAGTTTGAGGAGAGCGGCGATGACGTGCACAAGAGGGTGAGTGAGACAATAAAACTCTGTGAACTGCATGGAAAGGATCAAAAACCTCTTTCTTCATGCACTTAAAGCTGTACTGTAGCTATCTGCTCTGCAGTGCAGCAAGCCTTGTTGTTTCCAGAGCTACAGCTTCGTGTTTGACGTTATTAGAACTGACAGCAGGTCTCAGGCTGCTCTGCAACACTTCATACACACTGTCAGTTTCTGTGAGGCTGATTCAGAGAGACTGCAGTCTGTCTCAGTGCTGTCAGAGCAAAGCAGCTGGTTGGCCACTTAAAGCTAGGCTAGGCAGTTTATTAATGGCAAAAGTTCTATGTTACCATTTCACCATATTGTATTTTAAGTTGTCGAAACTTGCTTTCTGCACTTTCTCAGGGTTTGGTTTAAGGCTTCAGAAAAACTTGACTTTGGCCAATCACAGGTCATTTAAAAAAGAGGTTGTTCCTATTGGCTTTCTAATTGCGGGTGCATGTGCATTTCCCATCAGTGAAAACCTGATTCAATAATGAAATATCCTGCCGAAAAAGTGTCTGTTCAAGAAAAAACAGAACTGTAAAGTAAAGAAAACAAATAGGGGAAGACAGACTCGTTCAAAAGTGATTCTGACTATGTCTGCCAAGCATTTCAGAGATGGAAAGAGAATGCTGCTAATCGCTTAGCCTCTGCTAACTGTAGCCTTCTGCTTAGCCACAGCCATAACGGCTAGAGTTAGCAGCAGGCTAAACTATTAGCAGCATATTCTCTCTATCTTTACAACACTTCTGATAATATGGTAGCTCACTAGGGCCTGGATTCAAAATATGTTATCCCAAAAGGCTTTGCAGACCAAGTTTGCCAAGAAGACAGGATTGTCATTTCGTAGAATGTCATAAGCATCATGATTAGGGTGAGGTGTAAAATGAATGAATAGTACTCGTAGGACTGAATGACGCATGTTCATAGGCCTGTGCTTGTCTAGTGGGAGGGGCTTAAGACTGAGAGGTGAGTAAGGAGAGATTCAAATGAAAAGAAAATGTCTGCCCTTTTACGAACAATGTCTACCCTGGACTACAACTTGAATTATATTATGCTGATGTTGTCATTTGGTGTATATGCGATAATTATGAAATCCGAAAACATTAAAAAAAACGTTACTCCGAGTGTGCTTGCTTTTCTCTGTGGAAGTCATCACATAACGGCATTGTAATACACGGTTTGGCTGCATTAAATATTACATATTAGATTACATTACATTACATTGCATTTAGCTGACATATCTGCCGTAGTTCTTTATTTATAGGGCCCTGATTAGAAGACCTTTGGACAAACTGGAAGAAATGCCGCCGAAACTGATTATGTGACGTGGATCATAAATATATCAGCAATTAAACAACATCTTACATTTCTTTTCACACAATATGTCTCCTCGTAGTATCAACACTAATTCGGCTGACTTTTATATTTGATCCAATTGGTAGATAGGCTGTATTTACACCATAACGGTACACAGCTGATAGAAAAGGAATTGTAGTTTTTAAAGATATTACTGATTTTCTTTGAATATAAGAATGTAAATACTGAGTTGAGAGAATAGTCAGGGGTTTTGGGTGATGGGAGACACATCTATGGAATCAGAATTTCAATAGCTTACCGTTAAATGACGGGTATACCTTTCTGTCTGTGATGTTTTACAAATCATATATTTAAGCAATAGCTCACGACAGGCCGTGGTATATGCTCATTATATCACAGCTAAGGGGCGTGGTTCGCGAAGCGGAGGGTCGACAACCCCCTTAGCTGTGATATAATGAGCATATATCACGGCCTGAAGTGAGCTATTGCTTTTATAAAACGGTTACCAAGTGTGGCAATATGAAAGAAAAATACACACTCTAATTTAAATAGTTTTTATTAGTAAATAATGATGTTCAAAATAAAATAGTCCCTCCGTTGCCTTCTGCACAAAACATAGTGCAAGGTGGTTGCTATGCAACAACACTAACAGCAAGCGAACATATTAGACAGAGAGCGTTGATCCATTATTTGGCTGTTTATTTACATTAATGTGTATGTTGCTGTTTATTGTGCATCCACTGAAAAACTGTCCAGCATCAGTAGCATGGCTGTACGTGGCACTTGTATAGGTTGGTGGTTGTTCGAGGCTGTTGCTTGGCGTGCGCGAGAAATGCTCCACTGTTCTCCGGTCCCCGAGATTGCTTCCGTAGCTCTGGAGAGAGCTTCGCACCTGTGGCCACTAACGGTCATCAATTCTGCTGCCTCTGGTTTCAAGACCCGCATCAGAAAGCTGTGAGAATGGTGGTACTGTTTCCAGTTGGTCTACCTGCCTCACGGTAGCTCCTGCATGTAGTAGTTTAGGTGCTTTTTTGTGAATGGCACTGCCAAATCCACTCCTCCTAGTAGAGACCCCCCCGAGGTCGAAGTTAATCTTAAATGTTGCATTGTAGCGTTGTAAGTGTTCTTTCGTAACGGGAGACATTGAGAATATATTATAAACTGACAAGTCAAAGCAAGCAATTGATGGCGATAGCGTTTGCGCGACCTCTTTCTGATTACAAAGATCTTGGAAAACATCGTTGCTTGCTTAAAAGTACACAATCAGATGTCAACACCTCAAAAGTATCTAGATATACCCCTGCCTAAAGCCAAAGGAACTGCCACACTGAATACTGGTGCCGGTTGATGTCTATGTCTGGACCGCTAGCGTCAAAAAGGAGGGCTTCTGCCCGTTATTCCCGCTGCTTTCTTGTTCCAGTAGCCGAACAGGCAGTTTGCTTTTCAGCCCAACGGTCTAGACGGTTTTCTCAGACGCGCGAGGATACGACTTGTGCTGGAAAAGTAAGTACAATCTACCGTGGTATACGCCAGTATATCCCGGAAGAACCAATCAGATGGCTTGATGACTGTCCGTTAAACTGATGTTTTTTAGTGGATGAGTAATGCAGATATCACTATGTAATCATTTGACAGTGAGGGGAATACTTATTATGAAAACTTCGAGACCGGAAATACTTTTTTCACCCCGTGAGGGTTGACGCCAACTTTACATGGACGCTGCGTAAAGACGTAGTACACGTTCTCCTGGCGAGACCTCAAATCATCTTCGTAATATCTATCAAACTTTAGATCCTACACATCCACTGGACGTAGATTATAAAAGTACAATATACACTTCTCGCTAGAAATCTAATCAAAAAGCATTTTAATGGCCAAACTATTCCACAATTTAGGATTTTCCAGAGAGGGGTATTTGTGAATAAACGACCCTCCGGAGCGTTTGCAATCAACGGGAGTATGTTGTTTCTTACACGACCACTAGAGGTGCTATACTTTAAAATGGGACTATGGGTCGTAATAAGCTGCTGAACAATCGACCAACAATGTATAAGAGAGGCGAAGTCACGCCCATCTACTTCCGAGGCCCGACCCATGGGACCTTATTTCGGAAAAATTATGTATTGAAGTCAATGGGGAGAGAGAACTTATCTTTCGATCCCGTTTGAATTATGCCATGAATTACACATATGATGTTTGTCAATCTTAAAACATAATTTCCATTTAAAAAAAGTCACAATTTGTCGCAAAACTGTTGAAATATAAGACTATGAAAAATACGCAACTAGAAAGACTACAAATCCCAGAGTCGCGTAAGTGACCACGTTAGTTAGCATTACAGCCTTAGCCTTGTCATTTTTATTAGCCTTAATATGAAGTAACATTAAGTAACCCAAAATGTTAAACGGTAAGAGTAGTCATATTTCGCGAACCCTTTGAAGAGTACTGTCACACCGGTGTGATCATTCTATAATACACCATTTAAGCCCGGATACCCCCGGAGAGACATGCTAACGCTACATTAGCATCGCCAATCTTTTCTACTTCATGCTATCTGCACAAATGGTTAACATTGAAAAGGAAAAAGATCAGGCAGTTCAGGGAGAATCGAAGGAAGACATGCAGGCAGGCAGCTTTGCATGACATTCTTCTGGACGTGTTTCCTTGTGGTGATAGTGAGGGTAGTCAATCCCTTGTTTGGCAAGACAGTAGTGACGGCCATCTTGGTGATGTGTGTTGTTGTGCGAGACCAGAGATGTAGTTCATTGAGCGGTTTCACACAAAAAAAGTCTTACTTCACAGTTTTACGGCAAAACATTTTTTTTTTACTTGCAAAATTATCTTTTAAATTAACAAACATCATATGTGTAATTCGTGGCACAATTCAAACGGGATCAAAAGATAACTTTTCTCTCGCCATTGACTTCAATACATAGTTTTTCCGAAATAAGGTCCCATGGAGGTCCACCGGAAAGGGAGGGACTTCACCTCTCTGGTCGTTTTTTGTAGGAGGACAGGCTGTAAAAAACAGTTGAAGCTCATCAACATTTTTATTCAGGGTTTTCTCAGTGGGAATTGGTAGATTTGTTTTTGGTTGGGACAAACAGGAGTGCAGTGAATCTAAAGAGACCCACATGTCTGCTAAGGTAATAGTTGTTTAAACTGTGGCCTGCAGTAACTGTCTGACCTGTTTTCTATCGGCCACTATATAGACCAAATGACCCACATTGTGTGGAGCCCTCAGGCCTGCTGTTTTCATCAATGTGTGCACACTGTGCTTGAACTCCACTAGTGTAGTTTCATGTGTACCATTGCATGTACAGTAAAGAGCTACCCTTGTGTTGTGTGTCAGTGTGTCATTAACTTCAGATTGATGTGTACAAAATAAATAAGCACTGCAGGCAGATACCTGTGTTGCGACGGCCAGTTCCGTCCAGTTTTTTGCTGCGTTCAGAGCCAAGAGTTAAAAGAGGAGGTGTTGCTGTGCAGGGGGAGGGGAGGGGAGTTGATGTTACACTTGATGTTACACAGGGGGGGGGCTGCAGGGGAGACAGATACAGCAGGTGCTGATATCCCTACCAGCTAATAATAGACGCACAGAGCTCCCTCAGAGGCAGGTCGGCTCGTGTAACTCAGGAAGCTCAGTTTGTGTCTCTCTGCAAAAGTTCTGAGAATAACTTCAAATGGGAAAATCTAATTCTCCTACATTGGATAACTGTACATATGTTTGTTGTGCAAGGCATAATATAGGAAAACTATTTTTTCCTATATCGTAACATCTTGGATCGTAAAATTTTTCTGCTAATTTATTCATGCCTTGAGTCAGTTATTCAAATACATCCTTGTGGGGCAACCATCATCTACAATGACACTGAGTCAATTACATACAACAACAACAACAACAACAACAACACCAATGAGATTTACTAACACAGAAGAGGCAATACCATTCATAAAAGCCATTACATGTTCTGATAAGGTTAAATTATTTGATATACTATCATAGGAAAGATGATAATAAAAAACAAAGTTATGTAAGAAAGCAATAGATTAATAAAATAAAATGAATTTAATGTATGACACAGTGCTTTAAAACAACAACAAGTATACGTTTGGAGGTTTGATATCAAATATTTGAAATTTCTAACATATAACTAATTAATTGTGTCACTGCTTGTTGCTGTTTCTCTTATCAGTGTCACTACAATAGTTGGACATTCTGATAAGAATACCAGAATCAGCAGGAGTATCACAATGTCATTTATCAATATGATCAATTGTATTTATTGCTTTAGTATAACTCTTAATATTCTTAGTTTAAAATCAGCATTTAGTTTCCCTTGCTCATAGACTACAACATATCAATAACTGTTGACTGGAACTCAGTTCACTGATTGGCACAAAGACCGCGTTAGTGAAACATTTACTGCTGACTAACTATTGATAATTTCACATGATGCACATACAAATCTTAACAGCATTCACCTTTATGCCTCCAAGGTGGCGACAACTGCGAGTGTGGCATTATTTTCGGATTGTCCATCTGCTGAAGGATAAACTACTTTAAAGTGGACCTATTATGCTATATTGGAAAATATATTGTAGAGCCATACCTATACACAACAGGTCTGTGAAGTGTTTTGCTTAAAATACCAAACAGTTCACCCATTGTAGCCATGCCTCATACTGCTCCTACCCCTCTTTTGCAGCCCTGTTAGAGAAACGCGGATTTTGGGTCCTTAGCTTGAAAAAGAAGAAAGAAGAAGGAGGCGGAGCTAATCGCTGTCAGAATTCTGCCGGAGATAAAGTTACATTTCTGCTGTGATAAAACGCCATCCTGTTCTAAACCACATCAAAGATTATTTCTGAAACAGCCTCAAATGCTTTTTCTCTTTTGGGTTATCACGAGGGGAGGCTTTTTATTTCCTGCTTTTAAACACATACAGGTTAGGCTCTGAGTGTTAGCGAGGCTTGCAATGTAAACAAAGACGAGATTACGTCCAAAACACGTCAGGCATTGTTTCTGATAGCAACTTTCTGTGGGTCCGTTGCCGATTTGACGTCAGATCGGCAGCAAATCTGTATCCGCTCGTACGATTTGGGTACGGAGGAAAAGAGAGAGGGTTTTATTTTCTGATGCTGCGTGAGTTCCCGACGCACCGGGGACACATATTTATGAATAAAAGACATAAAAAAGTGCATTTCGCATTATAGGTCCCCTTTAATGGAGATCAAGGTCACTTTTACCTCACATAGAATCAATACAATTCTACATAAATACACATTGGACAAATATGCTGTTTAATATGACCATATGATGAAGTGATAACATCTTGAACGGACATGGATGTAAATTTAAACTGCCGACCGGTTGGCTGAAACAACTGCAAGGAGGAAATTCTAATTACTCCATAAATATCTCCTTACAGCACAAAAAGTCAGTTTTATGGCCACCGTATCATAAAATGATAACATAATATATCACCAAACCCTAATTTTATTTATATATTATCAAGTGTATTTTTTTACTCCATTCTGGCTCTGCAAACACGATTTTAAGGCCAGAAATCGAATGTGCTTTAAAATACATATTTAACTGATCCCACTGAGACAATGAATACAAAAAGGATACACTTTTCTTATCTGCTAACTCTTATTGTTCTGTTTATTGATTCTCTTTTCCAGAACATCATGTTGAAGGTTGAAGTGGAGAGTCTGAAAAAGGAACTTGAGGAGAAACAGCAGTTTCTGGACCAAGCTCTGTGAGTATCTGCCTTCTTCCTGCATGGATCACCATGTTGTGTCACCCCTCTTCACCCTCTCAGTGACCATGACTGTGTTAGTTTGTGGACCCCCAGGCCCTGAACCTCTAAATGTATCCAACAAATCACTCACTCTCAGTATATTACATTTCCAGGACAGTTAAGACCGCTTGTTCTGCACAGAGATTTTCTGAAACGTCTTCAGGGAAAGTGAACTACCAAAACAGTCCTTTCATTGCTGGTTAGATTATTTCCCATGAGTCCATCAGTACATCAGAGCCCAGGGCCCTCGGGACCCGGTTCCTCTCATCACACGCGAGCCTGCTGGCCCGTACACTCACCTAGCTATGACAACACGCACTAAGCCCTGAGGAATGCTGTGTATGTACTCTGAACTGAAATGCTTTTGAAGAGGATGAAGCGGTTCTGTGTTCTGGGGCGGAGGATGAAGAGGGGATGAGGGTGAGGAGGAGGAGAAGGTGTGAGGGACCCACTGTGGGTTTGTTTTGAAGGGGGACGCTGTATGGGAGTAGGGAGAGAAAGGGCAGTGGTGGCTTGTGGTTTGTTGTGTTGTTGAGTCGGGAACTATTTGAGATCCAGCACCTGTCTGGTGGTCAGCTGTCCGTCAGGTCCTTTTAAGGCCTCTCCTCCTGTCATGATATCCACACATACATACATATTTGCATACCAAAAAAATGTGTTCTAATAACTACGTTTTTGAATGCTATCTGCCACTATAATACTTTATTCCACCAGTGTTATGTATGAGTATGAGCAAGAGCTTGGTTAATGGGGCAGCTAACACAAATCATATTTCAAATAAGATAATCTAGGCAAGAAACAAACAAAAAGACATTTAATGTAACTTCACAATCACTGAAGACAATATTTCAAGACATTTTATCTGATTTAACTCTTTATTTAATTGTATTGGTTAAACCTTGTAAAATCACGAGACACTGTATCTCTAATGTGATGGCAGCATTTCATGTTGTCTGTTCAGGACATGGTTGGGGTCAGAGACATTGTTGTTGGCCAGCCTCATCATGTTATTATGGTAAATTGGTATTAGTAGACACTATAAAAATAGGACAGCTTGGTCAGTCTACCTTGATGTTACATTTGTACACACTGGGTAACTATTTAACATCTTTTTTAACCTGCATTAGTAGTAGTGAGTAGTTCTTTAGACTTCAAAACATGTTCGAAGTTCTGTTATGTAAATTCCGTATATTACATTGTTACTTGATTAGGCTATGGAGAAGATCATTGTTTGTGTTAAAATATATATGTTATGCAATGTACAGTAAGTTATGGATGAAGTTTAAAAATGTTTCTACATGATGTCAGTTTTGTACATTCTGTATGGGACAACCTCCAAACACATCAGCTACAGTCTGAAGATGATAAGCTTCTATGTGCAGGGTGCTATATTTAGCGGGTTCAAATGTAGCTTGTTTATTTAGTAAAAGGTAGTTCCAATGTGATATGTTTACGACATCTACTGTAAATTAAAACCATGACATTGGATAAAGAGTTTAACGTTTTCAATTTTTATTTTAGCCATTTTTCAATACTTAAAGCTCTGCAATGAATTTCATATACCTTTTATTGTAATGGTTTGGAGGCAGAATTTTTATTTTATTTTATCTAAAACTGTCTCAGAATATTGAGTGTGATGAACCTCTCTTTTAGGTTCATGTAAATAAAACACTGATGTGGTCACAATGTAACCAGTACAAAGATTTACAATATGAATATTCTTCCAAGGCCAATGGGCTGTCTATGCAACACATTCCTTTTTTACTGGAGTTTTTGTGCCATTGGTTAACGATGTGTTCTTACAAAATACTTAGATACTAGAGATAGTCCTGTTGTACAGGGAAAAGTATAACTGTTGTCTTCTCTGATTGTAGAAAGCTATTGACATGGTGTTTTTCACATTTCAACCACCTGTCCATTACCAGTGATGATTTTCCTAGATGGCCGTAAGAAAAACACCATTGGCTCAGTTACACAGTGTTACCATGCAATTTGGGCAGTAATTAGAACAATCAGTCAATTTAGCACTTTGTCAAAATAATGAAAAGGAGCAGCAATTCTAGCATTTGGATGTTGGAGTGGAGTTTAGAGCGGGGTCAGGTCTGAGGCTCTCCCTGCCCTGCTGTTTTATAAATAAACATTGTGGCCACAGTTTATCATTAGAGCTATTAACAGAGACCTGACTGATAGATGTGAGGAGGGTGAGCGGAGTGTGACCTTCTGGCTGTTGAAGTGTGCTGAGTGCTGGAGCAGTGACAGACTGGAGACATTTCCCTCTGGGATCCTTGTTTCCTTTCCCCTGGAGACAAACGTCACTCCGTTTAAGTCTTTTTGTTGTTAACCTCCACCGAGGAGGGTCTATTTCGTTGATGCTTTGAAAAACCTGCTTACAGTTTTCAATGACATTTGGTGGAAAGTTAGGCAATGAACCCAGACACAAGTGGTTAGTTTTCTGTTTGGATCCAGATCAAACAGCATCACTATGTGGCCTTTTGTGATGCCAGGGTTTCCCAAATAAACTAGCAGAGGTATTTGACAAAGCAACTGCAACATGAAAGGAGATGTGTCCGAATGTGAGTAGTTAACTATTTCCTTTCACTGTTTATTGTACTATTCCACATTTTGTTGATCACATCCTTGGAAAAGCCTGAAATAACTATTTCTCTTTTTTCTATTCGAGCTATTAATCTGCTTTTGGTTAATACGCGTTTCCACACTGAGTTGTCCTGACAAATAAGATCTACATCTACACCAGTGGTTAACTCAGATGTTGCTATTGTTCTTTTTGTATTTTTTGCAAAATCTTTTTTTCCAAGTAGCATATTTCAATGATTCAAATGCAGCTATACTTACATTCCAATGGTTTGGGTCAATCAACCAGTATCTTAATTGGCTGTAACTCAGTGGTCAGTTCGACATAAAGCCTATCCGTCTTCAAACTGAATTTAGGTATGTATAGTCCCCCTTAGCAGTTTGCATGAGCCCCTGAGTTCTTTCTTTGGTTAATTATTTTGTTTACAATCAAGAGAAATAGGACCCTTTGGGGGGAATAGCTGAATTTCAGTAAACACTGAAAAACAAGCTCCACATTGATGCCAGTTCCTAACTTGTAATACAGATTTGTAATATTTAAATCACGTTCAACATTGACAGAGTGACACGGCACCTCTTTAAGAATAACTTCCAATAAAACTCATGTTGCTACTGATGTCCTAAATGCATGTCTCTGTAACTGGCGATGAAGTATCAGATTTAGTGGAGAGCAGAGACAGATACATGCCCTGCAGTACTTTATGACCTTCTAAGTGTTTTGTGACTCCTGTTGATACTGACACCCTGCCCTAATTGACCAGAAATGAATTATTTATGAGTGTTTGCTGTCTACGAGGCAGAAAAGAAGCCAATGAAATAAACCCAACTGCTACTGAAGTCAGCTGGTTTTATCGTACACATTTATTATTTAGTAACTTAAAGGTTTCTCTAACAAAATAGCGACTTTATTTGGTTCAAACTTTATTAAAGTGCTTCAATGTGTTATGTCCTTAAAGTTACATTTAGCAGCTTCCCTGCTAAAATTTTTTTTTCTGTAACAACAACCCCATAGGTTGACGGCAGAGAGCCTGTCCAATCAGAATGAAGCAGAGCTGCAGCGTCGCCTGCAGGAGCGGCAGGAGGAGATCATCCACATGCAGGAAATCCTGGAAACCAAAGTTCAGCTGCTACAAGAGGTACACACACACACACACACACACACACACGCACACGCACACGCACACACACGCGCACACGCACACGCGCACACACACAACAGAAGATGACAGAAAGAACCTTTGTCAGGTTTGCATGGATCTGATGTTCCTCTCTCTGTGTTGCGTTCAGGAGGCCGAGCTGGCGCGAGGTGAGGCTGAGAGGATGACCTCGCTGGCGGACTCTGAGTCTCAGCGCCGCCTGGCTGTAGAGAGAGAGCTGGTGGAGAGGATGGAGGAGGAGGAGGGGGGGGGCTCAGGTGGACAGCCCAGCCAGCAGGCCCTGGCTGACAAAGACAGGTGACTATAACCTGCCATCAATGAAATGCATGCAGGAGTTAGTCCTAGCTGTGCTTGTACTATACCCTTGCACAATAGACACAATTCATAGTTGACACAGCTTATGGATTAAGAAACAGAAATGTATTTACTGTTTTATTTGTTGCTTTATTAATGTGTGTACAATGTGTGTACATGTACTGCCAACACTGACAGTGCTGCTGACACTGATATCGACTGACCTTGATGACAACTGATTCATGGCTGGAACAAAGAGCCAGAGCTCTGACCTACACACTGTAACTGACCCCTGAGGTCAGATCTGTGAACTTCACTGCACCTTTCACCCCCCCCTCCCCCTCTATCTCTCTCAGGCTGATAGAAGGGCTGACACAGCAGAAACACTCACTGAGTCTCCAGCTCGAGGAGCTCCATGTCAAAGTTCACCATCTCTCCTCTCCTGCCAAGAGTACAGAACGAGAAGTGGTATGTTTGCTCAGGAGTCACTAACTGAATACACTTTGCATGGCACATTTTGTAAATCATTAACAAGCTTTTTTTAATCTACTGTATGTGAATACTTTTAGATTAATTCAAAATATTGTTCCTGATATGGAAGCAGCCACACACATTGAGTTTCACAAAATCTGTCTTTACATCTCAAAACATGTTCAATGTAGATTAAATGCATTTTGAATATCTCACATTTGATGAGTCAATATTATTGGTTATTATGAAATGTTTCATCATTTCAAAACATTGCAACATTATAAAGACATAATCAAAAATGTAATGAAGTAATTATTGACAATGTAACTATAATCTAAATGCATTATACATTATCCTGACTACATGTAAACATACACATATATATATACTGTATATGTATTTATATATACTGTATGCATAGTTACTTTAGCACTGTAACAACAACTTAGCTTGTATTTAATGAAAGTCTTTGCAATTAAGAATACATTCTAAAATCTGGTTAAGACCTTGAGTCAGGCTTTTGAGGTGACCCAGCCAGGTGAGCTTGTTTTGGGCTACATTTCAGGTGAGCCTCATCCCTGCTTTCCGACCTTCCATCTTTGTGTTTTGGCTCAAACCCCAGACAGGCTGACGGAGATATACAAACTGTTTTTATATCCACATGTGGGTCAGTGGAAATTTGACAAAGCGGATAAGCTGCAAACCAACCTGAAGATGGAAACATGTGCATATATGACTAATCATGACAAACAAAAGTACTCATCTCATAAGCACCCTAAACTTGGGATCACTGTAGATCATTTGTTTTTGGTTATAATAAGTACTGCACTTGGTATTTGATATGTCGGTGGTTGGGATTTGATCTGGATAACAGGGGGTGGGAGGTGATGAATGCTTTATTTTGAGCACAAAGTATCAATTTAATTTGGTCAAGATGTGTACAGTAGTTTGAAAACAGATTTTAGATTGAGCTTCCCTTTTTCCCCCAACAGAGTCATGGAGAGAGCCGAGTCTGCACACAGATGCAGGTAGGAAGAAAAACAGTTGTACGCCGAGTATGAATCAAATGTGTTTATATGTGCGGCACACACTCACATCGTTACTGTGTATTTTGTCATTGAGCTGTTTTTGCAGGGTCTGATTTACACCTAAACTTGCAATTGAGACAATGTTGCATGACTCCCATTGTTCCCAGTTAGTCCTTCTTATAGAGATGTAGCTCCATCTAGTGGTGCGTGATCCACACTGTATGGATTACTGCTTAACAGTGCCGTTTCCTTGAGTTATTTTAAGTTTGGGAGACCTCTCTTCCACATTTATCTTAGTGTGTTTAGTAATGTGCTTTTTACTCCACTAAATGTATTTTGCATATGGGTTTTTCTGCATGAAATCTTTGAGATGAACTCGTAAAATAAGCTTCAGCTTAAACTTTCCAATAGTTCACAAACTAACATTAATTTAAAACTCTTTCTAGTACTTTCTTTAGTGCATAAATGGTTTTCAAGTATGGTTTTAGGACTTCATTTACTACTCAAACAAAAAACACTCTTTCTTTCTCTCAGTCCATGTACATTTAAATAATTATTGTAAATATGATTTTTTCAAAACTAGAATTGTTCCTGGCCCCAGATTTCCTTTTCCTGTAATTGGATCAGGGACATTTATTCAGAATAAGCCACATTTAAGCACAAAACCAAAACATTAAATATCTTTAAACTACATTTTGTGCCAAAACTTTAAGAAGTGGCATCAGAAGCAGGTTACATTATAGGATCATGCACCTTTGCCTTTTGTTGATGTACATTATTTAAAAATGCTTTACCCTAAATGCAATTTGAGCTATCACAACGTTTCTGGCTGCCCCTACATTTCCTTTCTGTAATATCTTGTCGCTGCAGACTCAGCTCTCACATACAGTTATTCTATTTCATCCTCAGTCTCCTCACTGACACCAGTTATAATTATAATCAGCTCACTGTCAGCTGGCTGCGACACACAGGGACTAGTTTCTCTGGGAACGGCTGCAGCGTGCACAGAAGGAATCACTTGTTTACTTGGCAGGGCAATAAGTCGTTGTTTGAGAGAGGAAAATCAGCATTTCTGTCTGGGTGGCCGCTAATTCACCACTGTCACACTTTGGTATTTATGCCACTCTGAGAAAAATAAACCTCAGAGTGTGTCCGTCAGCAGTGTTTGGCACCCGTCTCTGATTAGGATTAATTGATTTTTGATTGCGTGCCTCATTCCAGCCGATCAGTTTTTTGGTGTGGTGTCTCCAGAGGCCTTGCAGGGTGACAAATGTAAACAAAGTCAGGGCCGTGAGGTCCACACACACAGGAAAACAAATCACATGTGAGAACAGTTGTATCAACAACACATCCACTCTGCTGCGATAATGAAAGAGGGATGAAGACTTGTGAATATGTGGGAAAAGTATCCTGAAAGTGTCTGTTGAGAATGACATCAGCTTTCTCCTTAAAGGGTCATGTGACTCACAGACAGGAGTTCCAGCACCCCCACCCCTCCCTCCCTCCTGCATTGTATGCTGTGACAGTGGAGGCTGGACGAGAATTGGGTGCCCCTGGGAAATGCATGAACTAATTACTGGCAATTCCGAGAATTGAATGAAGCTTATGGAAAACATACAGGCCAAACACAGTTTTTTGTCAGTTCAATGCTTGCACACAGTGTTGTACTGACACAAAAAAGCTTTATGGATATGGGAAGTGTTGTATTTGGAATTACATAATTTGTCACACAATGTTTTGATCTGATTTTCTCGCAGAAAATAATCAGTTTTGTAAGATTAAATGCAGCAGTTTTGGTCGAGCAGAAGCACCGTGAGCCATCGTGACCATATAACAAAATATCTCTTTATTTACTGGTGCTGTATAATTTTCAGAGGGTACACATCATCACCATAACATTATTGGCATTAAATACATGATAAGTGTTTAAAATAGCAAGTGTTAATTGATATCAGCCATCAGCCTGCAAATACAAGGCAATCATGTATTTGCATTCAGAAACACGGTGACAACACCTTAAAAGCAACCAAAAATGTAAACAGTCAGATAGAGCTCCATAATAGAACATTTAATCAAAATAAGAAAAGACAAAATGTAAATCTATATTAATATTTGCATACGAATATTACACTAAGGAAGATTACAAGTATTATTCAAGTAATCTTAAACAAAGTTACATTTCCAAAAAACAACAATTTGGTGCCTTTATTGTTAAACCCACATTCATTTATAAAAAGTATTTTTAGATCTGATTTGTTTTTAAATTTGTTGTCTTTACCGCGTGATCAAATTGCCATCTTAGAGAGTTCATGCATCATAAACATGGACATTAATAAATAAACCTTAATACCAATTTATAATTGTGTTGGTTAACATCAGGAATGGAAACACATTATGAACAGGCAAAGCTTGTCTTTTTTTATCATGATCATTTGACCCAAAAACTGTTTACATTTGGCATTAACTGAAGGGAACTCATCGATTTATTTTAAACATAATTCATAAAAAATAGGGAAAGTTAATTGATTCTACATCTTTGCCGAGAGAAATCCCAATGTTTATTTTAAAGAGACCGTACAGAATCAGCATCCCTCCTCTTTCCAGTAAAATGGTTTAGTCCAGGCTGCTTCATGAGGTCTCACTCTTAAACTGAAATGGTTGACAGAAAGCTCTTAACACACTCAACTCTTAGCCCCGAACAATAATAACATTGCAAAAAGATAATTAAAAGACAAAATTAATTTAATAATACAAAATAGAAGGAGAAAACCTTATTGGTCATAATGGAAATCATAATTAATTTGCACCCCTATAACATGTAACAATCGACCAGTATTTTATAAACTGATTTTGTCTTTTTTTTTAATGGTATCTTTATCTGAAAAGTAACTATTGCTTTAAAATAAATGGGGTCAAAAGGTGAAATATAAAATAGTTGTCTTTGAAGTGTAGCCAGGGAAAGCACATGCATAAATGAGCATAGAAATTAAAAAAGGCAACTAACGTTGGCCAACAGCAAAAGTGTACTTTAGAGAATGAACCCTTTCTTTCTGTTGTGATGATCGATAGAAAATAATATAATTTTTCTAAATGATTATTTATGTCTGTAGAGTGGTATATATTTTAGACCACAGCCATTTCTCAAGACCGGAACTAGTTAAAGCTGCGGAGTGAGATATCATCTCAAACATAGACGATCTTTGGGTCCTGTCACGGTTGCCTCGATGTCTGGTTCTGAAAATCGCCTCGAGCTGACAGACTCTCCCTCCATCCCCTGCTGATCTCGCCGCTGCCGGTGAGGAGAAAACGGATAGGGGACCCGGACATTCTCCGGTGATACTAACATCCACACTGTCGACCAGGAAAGACCTTGTTTTTTCCGTGTTCGTGTCGGACTGTTACACGGGGAAGCTGCTGCAGCGGGGAGATGCTGTCATGTAGAGAGACGTCATTGATTTTTAAAAGGCAACACAAAAAGACTGCAGTGACATCAACTGGAGATCGTTTCTATCCCCGGAATATAAAACGATAAAATATCGATCTGTCTGCAGTGAACCACCGAGGAAGTGAAATGAGACACATGACAGAGATCACATCCGTTCTGCCTGGAAATCCTCTTCACTGAATGAACGCTTCTGGTCACGTTGTCATGTCAGCGTGAGGTGTAGTCTCTGCCCAGTGATCCATTTGATTAAAGCTGCCTATTCAATTAAAAGTAGCTCAAATCATTATTATCGTTTTGGAAGAAAAACACATTGTTGTCCTTGGATTCATCACCACAAGGTCTATGTAAAAACTATGCTGGAGAGTTTAATCATTTCACATGATCTTCCCGAGCAGATAGAATATGTAAACCTTAAGCTTAAAAATACTTTCAATTCCAAAAGAGCAGATCCGGACCTGACTCTGGAACAGGAGGCTGAAGAGGGATCAAAACAAATCAGAACATGTCTCCAAAATACTTATTATGAAAAGGATATTTTTAATGGAATCTCCAAACTTTTAAAATCAGTGCAAGTGCAACTTTTCTTTTTGGCATACCTGAAATAACTGTTGGACTTAATCAGTTCAGAAGTCGATGAAAACATCAGCAATTTACTGTACACTTCCTTCAATCCAAAGACACATCTTACAAGCGAGAAAAATAAATCGTCTTAAAAGCACTGATATATTAGTAGTAGCTGGTTCACCTATACCTCTGTAATGCTGGACGTGGTGAAGATGAAGGAGGCTTGCAGGATCTGCGCTCGCGAGCTCTGCGGCAACCAGCGCCGTTGGATCTTCCACCCTACAGCCAAGCTCAACCTGCAGGTGCTGCTGTCCCACGCTCTGGGCCACGAGCTGAGCCGGGACGGCCGCGGGGAGTTTGCCTGCTCCAAGTGCGCCTTCATGCTGGACCGCATGTACCGCTTCGACACTGTCATTGCCCGTGTAGAGGCGCTGTCCCTGGAGCGCCTTCACAAGCTCCTGCTGGAGAAAGACCGGCTGAGGCAGTGTATCGGAGGCCTGTTCCGAAAGCACAACGCAGATGATGGGAACGTGCCTCCGCCCAGGGCCGTTGTGGGGGTTGTTGGGACTGACGTGGGGTCAGAAGACTCTCCTGTGGTGGATCTGTCAGGTCTGCAGGACGGAAGATACTCTGATATGATCCAGGATGATCTTACCTACTCTGTGTATGAATCCTGGGCTGATAAGGAGGACCCGGCCCTGGACCAATCCACCCATCAAGAGCCCCACCAACACCATCACCAGTGCCCAGGAGCAGACTCTCTCTCTGGCATGAAGCCTAAGCGATGCAGGGGTTGTGCAGTCCTCCGTGTCGCTGATTCTGACTATGAGGCAGTGTGTAAGGTGCCTCGCAGGGTTGGGCGCAGAAGCACTTCCTGCGGACCATCCACACGCTACTCAACAGCCACTCCCGGGGGTAAAGACCCTGCTAGAACCTCCGGAGAGTCCGAGGCTACAGCTGTCACCTTTGAGTCCTCCTTAGCTGAGTTGGACACTGATAAAATCATGTGTGACCAGACAAGTCCTAGCCCGGCATCATCTGTGGAGTCTCTCGACACCGCCGTGGACGTGAGTTGCCTTCCAGTGAACCACAGAGAAGGAGAACAAACTGTACCAGAAAAATATCCAGAGGAGGTTTCAGCACGAAGGTATACTACATGGGACAAACCCCCAAGTGAGAGCTCCTTCTCTGGGCTGGAGGTGATGCTGAGCCTCCTGAGGGGCTGGGACTACCGGCCAGTGAAGCCTCAAAGAGGTAGCAAGCTCCCAGTTCTGTCCAAAGCCAAACTGGACCAAAGCCTGTCCCTACCCCTACCCATCCCACTGAGGTCGCCCTGTGGAGGGGCTAATGACTGTGAGCTGTACTCCCACCTGCCTGTCCCAGAAGTCATAACCCCGTGTACCCAGCAGGAGCTGCAGGCAGAACTTGCTGAGATGGAGGAGCAGTGGATGGATGAATATGTTCAGTGCGGTCCGTTCCGCTTTCAGCAGGTAGATTAGTTGCAACAATACCTGGTTCCTTGATGACCTCTGATCTTCACATAGCTGATACTGTCAGTGTCGGGGAACATTTTCTACTGATTTTCTTATTTATTTTTGCTTCTCAAATACATTTTCTTATCATAGGCCGTGTCTGGCTGTATGGGTGCCTTAAACTAACACAAGCCTTTCACCTGGAAGGCTAATGTTTCGAGCCCTGTGTGAAACTTAAAATCAACATTTACTTTTTTTAATTGGATGTAAGTTTGAGAAACCGGCTCGAGATACACTTTTTGTTATATTCCATGGAATGCTCTTAACATCCCGATAGAATATAACAAAAAGTGTATCTCGAGCCGGTTTCTCAAACTTACATCCAATTAAAAAAAGTAAATGTTGATTTTNCAAATTTCTTTCTTTTTGGTGTCTATATACGCCGGGATCCGGAGTCATGGGTGATCCTGCGGTCCTGTGTCATGGATTGCGAGTCCTGGATCTTGAGCCGTGGCTGTGGTCCTGGATCATAAGTCCTGGATGGATATACTCGTGGATTCATCTTCCTATTATACACACATGCATTTCCAAACATTTGGACTACCTATGTTGCAAATGTATTATCTTTTCAATTTACACACGGCATCTATTGCACGTCTGTCCGTCCTGGGAGAGGGATCCCTCCTCTGTTGCTCTCCCTGAGGTTTCTCCCATTTTTCCCTTTAAACTGTGGGTTTTCTCTGGAAGTTTTTCCTTGTACGATGTGAGGGTCTAAGGACAGAGAGTGTCGTATTGTCATACTGATATTCTGTACAAACTGTGAAGTCCACTGAGACAAATGTAACATTTGTGATATTGGGCTATATAAATAAACATTGATTGATTGATAATGCCATACTGCTTGTGGGTGTCACATGATTTATTATTTTTCAGAAACTTTGTGATCTCCACTAGCTTTTGAAATTGCTTTCTGTTGTTTTCAACACTTTTTGACTTTATAGTGCATGTTTTAATAAATTAAGTTTGACGGTTTTACAGTACTCAGTCATGAAACTAACAAATGGGTTGGACAAACGACACTTTATGGATAATGTAATCCCAGCTTTCTTTTCCTATGTGTTAATTGTGTAACTTTGTACTCCCATGTGTACTGATCCACTGATATGTGTGTCAATCTTTGTCCATTCATTATTTTCCAGCCTTGTCTCCTAAAGTTACATTTATAATAGCACTGAATAGATTTGCCAAATAGGTTTTACAACAATGAAATTGCCGCCTGGATTAAGTTATGTTCACTGGCAATGTTTTTGTTCCAAATGAGGAGGGTTTTAGGGTGGATTTTGGCATAATTAATTGCAGGAAATTAATAACCAGGGGCCTAGATTATATACTTACACCCTGCGTTTACTCCTAAATTACTGGCAATTGCTTGGAAAATATATAACAGTAGTTTTTTCATGCACTAACACTATTTGATTGTATACACATACAAATCATGTCCTAGTGTGAATTAAGGTAATGCATAGAATTGGCTACAACCCCCTCTAAACACAAATGTGCATAAAGCCACACACTGTAAGTACACCCAGAATCATTGGGACAGTCGCAGAACACACACATAATTCCCCTCTTCACATCTGGTCTGCCATCTGTGCTGCAACAACATGATGTTAGAGGGAGAGGCCTGCAGTAATCTGTCTGTCTGGTTCTCTGAGGGGAAACTCAAAAAAAATGTATTGGGTTTTGTCCTGGCACTAACAGCGGTCCAGTTTGAAAAACCATACCATTGTTATTGTTGCATTTTTAGCTTACTTCATGTTATCATTAGTCAACAATTTACTTAAATTTGACACATTTCAGTTAATACATTGCAATTCATGTTGCACCTTTTAGCTATTTCACTCGTAATCCCACCTAGGTAGGAAAATCAAAGAGCTGTGCTATGAAACAGATTTAGGTGTCATGCTACACACGACTGAACATCCAGGACGTTCACCACTCATCCAGAAGAGACAGCCACATGCTGCACTTTCAGTTTTGGCCAAAAGGGACAGCTGCGCTTAAATTTTTTATAAAATAGTCCTAATAAAAAGGGTTTTAGGTGTTTATGCTGAGGTGTGCAGATTTTCTAAAGCAGCTGTTCTCAAACTTTTTTTTTATAACTTAACCTCCTTTGACATATTTAATCTGCCAAGTACCCCATTACCAGAGTAAAAAAAATGTTAGTGGAAAAAACGAAAGCCTTACAGCTCTTCAGCATAATCATATATTGGACTTAATTTAGTATTATTATTTAAGGAATCATGCAAAACGGTTAAATTGATTATTTTGATAAAGGTGTACCTCAAAGGTGACTCCCAACCGCTACTGTTTTGGGACTTAGTATGGTTTCATGCACATCCGACATCATACGTGCATTAGACTCACTCACCAATTCCTTGTTAAGTCTTAAAAAAACATTATAAAAAAAGAGCTAATGGAATCTAAAAGCTCTGTAAAAAAGTTGAAGGAAATTCTTTCCCCACAATTTGTACTCTATATATAGCACATTTTGTTATCAAAGAGGACATATTATACTGAATCAGGTTCATATTTGTATGTTGTTCTTTTACTGTGCATGTCTCCATGCTTTAATGTTTTTTCCCTCATACTGCCTGTGCTGCAGCACCTCTTTTCACCCTCTGTCTGAAACCAGAGCCCAGTCTGCTCTGATTGGTTAGCTGGTTGGCTCTGTTGTGATTGGTCAACCGCTTAGACATGGTCCATCCCTTAGCATTTCAGATACAATGTGTTTGAGCGCTATCCAATAGAAGTGCGAGTGTGACATAACGATGTCATTATGTTACATAAGGAGTCCAACCTAAGTGTTTCAGTCAGGTGGGTAGTGTGTGGGAGAGAAACTCCCTCTGAATGGAACTTTGGGATTTTAGCCTTTGCAGGCCATTTACATGCACCAAAACCGACAACACACTTCCGGAAAGGGAAAACCCCCATAAAGCATGATAGGGCCCCTTTAATAGCATCGAAATATGGATTATTTAAGTTTAGATTTATACAAATATTAGATTTTTTATTCTGTAATAAACCCAAAATTCTACAACAGGACCTAAGACTTTGTTGTTCCTCTTGTGTAACTGTGTGTGTGCCCTTCACAGAACTCCCCTTTGTCCCCCTTTGTCCTTACTCTCTTTTAGCTGTCTGCCTAATTAGCTGTGAGATCGTCCGGGCAGTTAAAGTCCCCGGACACCAGCCAACCTGCTGGCCACGACTCCTCAGCTCAAATTAATGAGTTGTATGGTTTGGGCGGTGGAGGGTTACCCAAACATGTCTGTGCCCATGCAGTACTTTGTGGTTTTGTAATGCAGTGATGTCAGAGCTGTCAACATTAACATTTGCTGAAGGGTGGGACAAGACACCCGGGCCAACTGTGACCAGTAACGGAAAATTGAAGTTCACATGGTGTGTGACGAAAAAGATGCGAAGTAGAAGCAAAATAAGACATGAGTCATAGAAAGAAACAGATAAATGGAATGATTTTAACATATTCTCATATCTCAATTTTGTATTAATATATATGTATTAACATATGCAACCATTGTTGAGTTGATATTGGTTTTAAAAGTGTTTGATTTAAAAAAGAAAAAGAAAAAAGGAGCCCTTTATCTTTTTGGTTCATGTGTTGTACATGTGTAGAACTTTTTTTATGTAAACAATTATTATGTAAGAAACATAATATAGAAAGGGTGGAAGCTAACCAATCCCACTCTGATAACGTTTCATTATAAGTTATATTAATTATGTTTAATCATTATTTCATAATTAAATGTACCTAATAATGAAAAAGGAAATAAATCATGAAATAGCATTGCTAGATGATTTTCAATGGTGCCATGACTAACATTGAGTGGATACAAATGTATTTTTTAGTCTGAAGAATTGTAACAAAATGTTTTTAAAATTGCCAATTGCCTTTTGTTAATGAGATGTCTATATCCAGCCCTCTCCCTCTTGCCCTCCCTCATTAATTAACCAATTAGCTCTGTCATTCATTATCCTGTGAGATCATGGCAAATTATCGAGTGAGCATTGAATTATTCTGCACTGAGGAACAAACATCGGTGCTAGCGTCACAAACCAGTACTTTCCATTGACCGAGATCAGGCCTGCTGTAATGCAGAACACAACGCGCGCACACACACACACACGTCACACACACACAACTGAGCACTGACCGGATAGCGAGCAGCTCTGTTTTCTCATCTGGATCTTCATGACGATCTCCTGTTGGAAAGAGTTAGCATTTAAACACTTTTGGATTCCCTCGTCTCAAAGTCAGTTTTTTGTTAGATGCCTAAAATAAGGTCTGTGGTTAATACAAGCTTAACAGCTAAAACATGTCAGTAAATACCCCACTTGTGTATGTCTGCAGCTTGTATACGTGTCTTTAAAACGGCGGTTGCTAACACGTGACGGAAAGAGATTGCTAAGCGTTATCACACCAAATATTAGCCGGCGTTAGCTTAGCGGTGGTGAAGGGAGTCATGACCGTCTTGTAGTTTGTTTACATTAGCCGTTTGCTATTGCGCTTCAGCTATGAAAGTGGTGTCAATATATGGAGAATACCATTCTGATCAAAACTTGTAAGTATCATAAACTAACTTAGCTTTTTTCAAGGGATACCTTATGGTGCTAACATCTGGGTACGTTAATGTGCTATGTTAATGTATCAAATAAACTCGGACATCTTTGAGACTCCATATCACTGCTGTATATAAAGTGAATCAAAGCAGGCCACTCACGTCCGCTGATCTTGGCGCTGACCCGCTGGGCCAGAGCCCCGCTCTGAGCCAGCTGCTCCCTGAAGCTCTGGCCCATGTAGTAGTCGATGTCGTTGGCCCTCAGCAGCTCCTCGAAGGCCTTGGTGGTGTCCCCCAGGTGCTGGGTGAGGATGTTGCACACCCCCCGACCCTCCCGCAGACGCTGGCGGAGGTGAGACAGCTCTCTGGCCTGGGCCTGGATCAGGGTGTCGAATTTACTAAAGAAGAAGAAATAGAGAAATCAGTGTTGTTATCTATATGTGAGATAATAGATGATGAACACAACTGAACCAGTTTTGATGTTTATTATTTGAATCACAATACTCATCCTAGGGAACTACAGCAATTTTTTTTAACTAACCAGTCTACAAAAGCAACACACAACACATTTCCTCCTTCTATTTTTTATCAAAATAAACTAAATCCTATATGTGTCCGGATTGTCTCATTGCAAATCATAGGCTTTGTGCTTTTTTACTCATTGTTTCAGCGACTTATACAATCCTATTTACAAGATCATCACACCCATACATCCAAATGGTCTAAAAATGATAAAACCAAATACAAATTAGGAAATATAAAAAAAATGTTTTGACATTATTAATTAGACATTATTATTGCGATAAGGTCAATAGATACAAATTATAAAAAAGGATTATGCAAATACTAAATATGTCTGAAGCTTAGCCATTAGCATTATAAATAGAAATGAATAATACCTCATGATAGCAGATGTCCCTCTGCCCTTTTTCAAACATAGTTTTATCTGTATGACTAAAACTTTTTCTCAACAATGATAATGTTCTAAGGTTCAGATTCTGTAACTGGCTTGATAGCTTTACCCTAAGAAAGGTGTGTTTTCATCGGTACAGTATATATTGATAGAATTAAAAAAATATTTATATCTGTTGCACAGATCCTGAACTCTTGGCCTATAACTCCACTTGTTGTAGGAGCAGGTTCCTAAGCAGGACCAGTCCAGCCTCTAAATGTCATCACTGAAGCTTCCCTTTGGTCACATGGCCTAATGGGACGGTACGTTCCCATTCTCGTGTCAGTTAATCCCCTCTGACTTTCAGACGGCTGAGTTTACATAAAAAGCATCTGTGGTTACGCTTGATTAACATGGACTGAAACTGACGGAGGCCTGCAGTGAAGCATTTACATTCATGTCCATAAAATGTTTGTTTCCAGATCATCTGTATTCAGAATCAGAAACAGAAGCAGGTTTAGTACCAGGTAAGTTGAAACATACGAGGAATGACTAGGTGTTGTGGTGCATACATACAAGTAAAACAAAAATTAAAAACACAGATAGAGAACTATTTTAAGAAAACTATAATAACATAAATAAAACTATAAAAAATATAGTAAAATATAGCAGTATTTACATTGAAATAGAATAGAATACAATATGTGCAGTAATTACAAAAAACAGATATTGTGTACATTAAATTACATTATTAAAATCAGGTTAACTTGTATGTACATTTTTTAAATGCTTTTAAGTAAATGTTTTTATTTATTTTTTATTTCCTTTTTCTTTATACATGTTTTACTTCTTACTTTACTTAAAAATATGGAACTTTATTCTGCTGTGATCTGATGTATATATCAACTTGAAAAATAAAGAAGAATGAGGAAATGTCCTAGTACTGACCCCGGCCATGTGGCAGACTTCACATCCTCGCTGCCTGGCTCCTTGCCTCCTTTCCTCAGCTGGTCCTCCAGAGCGTCCACGCGGGACACCAGTTCCAGCAAGCCCTTGTCTGCTTGGGGGTGACGGGGAGAGGCCAGAGCACCTCCGTCTGAGGACTGCCAACCCTCGTCATCTTCCGCCCCGCTCTGGGTGGGCGAGGCCTGGAAGGACCAGTTGACCTTGCGGGGGGTGGAGGGTCCGTAGTCGCTGGAGGTGGAGAGGGAGCGCAGCCGGCTCTGCAGCCCGCGGATCACCCCCTGAGAGCGGGACAGCTGGGAGCGGAGGTCCTCCACCAGGCGCTGCAGAGAGGACATCTCGTCCCCATCTCTGGAGCTCTGAGGGGGGGTCTTGGTTAAGGTGGAGCCCTTGCTGCCGCTGTTGGCAGGCCACCACTGGGAACCACAGTCCAGAGACGTGCACATCTCCAGGTCATCAAACTCTGTCCGGGAACAAACAGAACACACATTCATCTGAGTCCTGGAAGCAGCAGCACTGAGGAGTTATACAAAAAACACTTTCCCATGGTTCCTTTATATCACATGCTCATGCACTGTAGTGGAACACATAGAGTTTTAACCGACAGCACTGCAATAATCCCAGACCTGTGCCTTTTATTTAAAATGTTTCAAGACATTTTAAAGGTCTCCTATCAGGCAAAATGCACTTTTGTTATGTCTTTGAGCTCCATACTGCTCCAGAAATAATCCTTGATGTGGTTTTGAACATGATATGGCGTTTAATCACGGCAGCACTTAGCTGAGTATCTGCGTAGAATTCTCCTGAGCAGGCAAAAGCTCCCCCCCCCCCACCTCTCGTTTTTTGTTTTTTTTAGCTAAGGACCCAGAATCAGCACTTCTTTAACAGGGTTGAAATAGAGGGATATGAGGCATGGCTAGAATGAGTGATTTGTTTGGTATTTTGAGCAAAACACTTCATAGACATGTTTTTTATAGACCAATAATATATGCCTAAAAATAGTATAATAGGAGACCTTTAAAGGCTGCTTGTTGTGCTGTATCAGAAGATCTGCTCGCTGGTAAAGTGCTGTACAAATTAAAATATCTGTTTGAGTTTACTAAATGTGAGTTGTAGTATAATAAATAATATAATAACGAGAAAAAATGTTTCTATAGCAATTTTCTTAACATTGTAGTGAACTATTGTACAAAAATTACATTTGAGAAAGTCAAAATAATATGAGTAGTTAAAAATATGTATTTTTGCCTTGCCTTGCCTTGCAAAAGTGTACATTGTACATTTCAACTGAAGCTAAGTATCTAAATACCACTGCAAATGTGTCAATGTGAAGACAGTATATTGTGCGCTGCCGCCCTCCGGTGTTTTTGTGATGCTACTACAACTAACCAGCAGGAAAAGCTTTGAAATTTATATATATAGTTTATATAACCTAGTAAATAATGAATAGTTTCACTTTTTTCCCCCTTTTCTTGTATGGTTGTTTTCTAAAACTGTGCCTCTGACAATGTTTAAACGGTTATATGTACCTGGGCTGCTGGTGTCCTCCCTCTCCGCCTCATTCTCACTGCGGCCGGAGGTCTCATAGCCCATGTCCTGCAGATCCACCTGTACCTGCTTACTGTCCTGCTCCACGGCTGTCTCCGCTGTACACACAGAAGAAGAAGAAACTTTGTTCCAGTGTATTTGCAGCTGACACCACTAGCAACAAACAATTACTGATGTTTCTTTTGCTTATGTTGCTGAGTAGATGTAGCTATGTCCACTCACTGAGCAGCTCCCTGTAGTCTTTGAGCTGCTCGGCTTGAGCCTGCACGGTGGCTTCAGACACCATCAGTCTCTCTCGAAGCTCTTTGCTCTTCTGCTGCAGACGGACTGACTTTCCACACAAGACAGAGGATGTGGCGCCCTGTCCAGGAGCATCCTGAGTGACAAATTAAAATAAGGGTTAGAATTTCAACAAGGATAACGCCAAATGAAGGAGCCAATAACAGATTAAATAAGTCTTAAAATGAAATAAAACAAGGTACTTATGGGTTATCTGTCGCCACTTTTTTAGTTTTTTTCAGACTCTCTAAATAACCCTAACCCCTAGGATTAATGTTTGTTATTTTTGACAAATGAAAAAGTTAATGTGGGGGAGCCAGCTAGCCGTTTTTAAAAAGAAGCGACAGCTAGCCCACAAGTACCTAAAACATCCTTATTTCCGCGCGCACGTTTTTTCCTCTTACGTTTTGTTCTGCTGAGTGGTCCCTACCTGCGAGGTGTTGCTGAGCAGCTGCAGGGTCTGAGGTCTTTTGGCTCTCTGCTCCACTCCACTCTGCATGTTGGTCTGCAAGAGAGTCAGATCGCCATCCCAGGTGTCCCACATTCCAGAGTTTTCCTCCTCTTCTTCATCCTCCTCCACCCCTTCTATGGTCACATCCAACTCCTCCACCTCCTCTTCTTCGCCGTCCACACCCTGCTTACTGTCGGCCTGCAGGCCTTCAGTCAGCTGATGCTTCAAATCTCCGTTCTCTGCTTTCAGGCTAAATAGAGCTCTCCTTTAAAAAAGTGGAATATTACATTACATTACATGACATGACATGTCACTTGTTAGACGCTTTTATCCAAAACGACTTACATACTCAATACTGTGGGCAATCCCCACAGGAGCAATTTGGGGTGAAGTGTCTTGCCCAGGGACACACTAACCTACTGAGCCACATGCCTCCCTCGAATAGAGGTGGAGGGTTAGAAATATCCTGTTGCCCTGTAGTGGCCAAAAAATGCTTAATGCCACTTTGCGTTGAATGGATAGGTGTGTTACCATTAGCTCCATTATTTTGGTGTTCGTCAGCAGAATGACAGAAGACTAGAGGTTTTACCCAATTGTAATAACCTTGGTGGATTCGTGTAGCGTAGGCCGAGCAAGAACTCATAACATTTTGGAAAAGATATGAATCATGGGCAGATACGAGCATTCTTTTTTACAAATGGAAACAGACTTTGCAAGGTCTTTGCTCTTCTTGTCCCTTTGTAGTTTTTTATCTTTATTTTTCACAGAATATCCCATTAAAAGACCAAAACATAATGTGTACGTTTATGTCTTATTACTCAGTCTTCCCATCTGTCGCTCTCAGACAAACTTACATTTAAAAAAACACAAAATAGTTTAATTTCTTGAAAAGGCTAACAAAAAATCTGAGTATAATAATAATAATAATAATAATAATAATATAAATAATAATACATTTTATTTATCAAGCACGTTTTCAGCGCTCAAAGACGCTTATATACTATCTGTTAATTGTAGTTTTTATTAAACATCAGGAAATAGTGTGTTTGTTTGGGAATACTTTCAACTGCAATCAATTCCCACTACAGTGTCATAGGGGAGGAAGGTTACTTCAAGGACAATACTTAGTAGTAGTACACGTTGAGCCGTAATCCTCATCGTAATCATCTTACCTCATCTGTGAAAGTGAGGAGAAGCCGGCCTTCTCCAGCTGAGCCTTCAGCTCCCCCAGCTCTCTCTCCACCGCCCTCTTCTGCTCCACCAGCTGCTTGACCTCCATCAGGCCCTGGCCTTCAAACTGCACGTCCTGGGACGGAGGTCTTCCTGTGCCTCCAGGTCCCTGTTGGAACAGACAGTGAGGATTATTGATTAACAGTTACTTACGATGCGTGCACGACGAAGCTGCAGTTATCTCATTGAACACATCCTTTTTTTGTAAATGTAAACTGACCAGATATCCAAGATAAATATTTAAAGTTCACAGCCGCTTCGTACCTCATAAGCCTCCAGCCCTCTGACATAAATCTGCCTCCTTCACTCAGTTCGGTTTAATGGTTGGTCCTAGGCTAACAATAACTTTCAGAGTAGATGTAAAGTATACTTTATTTAGTTTAGGCATTGTGTCACACTGCAAATTTGTTTAAAAAGTACATACCAATAAACTCATATAAAGCACTGAATACGAACTCCAAAAATAACTTTCTCAGTCAAATAAGAACCACAGACATTAAGGGGCATTTTCAAAATAAAAATAGTAGTAAGATTACTAGATGACTATATATCTCTGCTGCTAAATTCCTCTTTGGTATCTCATTCCCTTGTGATGATAAATCATAAGTCAGTTAATGTTAACCTCTCTGAGCATTGGACTAACATCATTATTACAACACTAAAAAGATTGTTGTGTTTATCGTGGGATATTTGGCTTCCATTCACTTTAGTTTAAATTACCTCTCAAATATCTTTGAGTCAAATATATGTATACCTTGGTGTTGGCTGCAAACTGGACCCCTAGTTTGGACTCCTCTTCCTCTTCAGTGTACTCGCTGTTCAGATAATCTTCAGCCTCGTCTTCCTCCTCTGAGCTCAGTTCTGCGTAGAGACGGGAAAAAAAGTTAGATTTCTACCATTCATAGGAAATTATTTTCCATTTCACTCTTTCTGAGTTTTCTGTTTGCTTGGTGACTTTGTGCAATTCATCAACCATTCTACTGATATCCCACTGTCAACACAACATTCTTCTCCTTCATCATGATGTAATTTGTAATGCAACATCATCTCCTGCAGTGTATGTGAGTATGAACAGCTCGTAGTTCACTGTTGTGAGTAGTGCTCTGTGTTATTAACTGTGTGATCAAACTTTCAGTACAAAGCCATTGAACTGAATGGAAAATAATAGTTTATTTAGAAAATGTTGCTTGTAAACAGAACAGGAACATGGGTAATCCAAGCCAGGGAAATTTCACATGAAACTGTAAGGAGTTAAATCATGGCCTCGACTTTTCCTTGAAATGAGGTTAAATAATTCAAAGCTGAGGCAGGTAAGGCTCTCATTAGCATAATTGGAACCATATTTGTTTTATAGAATTATGTAACCCTCATTACTATTTGGATTCGGTGACATATTAATACATTTCAGTGCTGTAGAAACCACTGAAATCATGCATTCAATATAGCTTCTGTAGGTTTAAGGACTTTTGAGAGCATTTTTATTTATATTATATCAGTTATAAGTATGTTATTGATCATCAGTATTTCTTCAGAATATTTATGATATATGTGACAAAAGAATCTACTTGTTTTGTATTGTTTCTCCACTATAATTGTATTGCTTACAGTGTGGAGAGCTCTTTTCAATTTCAGACATCATGTAGAGGCAAATATAAAAGGAAACCTAGCACTTATTGGGTAAATTCAAGTAAATTAGGTAACCTTAAGAATTGAAATTTCTCAAGAAATTTCGACTGAATATTTCAAAAATTCTGAATACAACACTGGTTACCAGATATGTATTAAGTTCTATGGTGCCCCTATGTCATAGAAATTGGTGTTTATTTATTATATGTTTAAGTATAAATGACACGTCACAATGATGTTGTTTTCGGGGCTCCAGTGAGGCAACATTTACAAAGCAACAAATAAAGTGTGATCTCTGAAACTAGTGCACTGCTTGTGATGCATTTTGTTTTTGGGGACATAATGTGTAACTGTCTGTTTACTGTAGTCAGTAAAGGCAGATCAGGATGTCCCAATAGAGACAGGGGGATCATAAAACTATTTGGGCGTGAAGTGAGCAGTTATTTCAAGTGAACAAACCATGAAAACCTCCTAAAAAAATCCATACAATACAAGGCAGGTGTATTTATTAAACTCAATAGGCGCTTTCACACCGCAGTACTTTTTCCACTTTAGTTCCGATATAGTTCCAAAATGTTGCGTTCACACCATAGACTGGTTCACACCAAAAAGATCCGGAACTAAAATGAGTTAATGAGAACCTTTTTACCCCCTTTTCCATCCCTGCTAGAGAGCAGGGACTTTCGTGGGAGAAAAACGTTCCTATTTCTGATAGGCGGATTGCAAACCACGCCCCGTAAAACTCCCAAAAAGTTTTGTGAAGCCGCCATTTTATTATCCTCGCATTAGCATTATTAGCATTAGCCCAGCGCACAAACACAAATAGCATACCTGCCAACCCTACCGATTTGGGCGGTAGTCTACCGCTTTTAACATGTTTCTACCGCCTACCGATTTAGCTGGCTTTCCCTACCGATTTCAATCTTCCCAAATTATAAAAAATAAAAATTCCCCATGGCGCACCATAGACAATGGACTCGACTTTGGCTCCTATCCAATGAAACTGGATTTGCTCATCACGTGATCAGTGTTCGGTCTTGGCACCCCAGTGTTGTTTATTCACATCAGAGATGTTCAACAATACACACAGCTACAGGTTTTGATATGGACATTCGGCGATAATAGAACCCCGGAGAAGAAGAAGCCCACCAAGCGGTGGGACAATGTGTTTAAAGCCAATTGGACAGCAGATCACAAGTGTATCAAGGTGTCGCAGAGAGGAGAGAAGCACACCAAGTACCCATCCCTGTCAGTTTTACACACATTCTGAGGCCGCCGTACCTATGTTTTTATTTTCACTGCTAATTTATGCTTATGTTTTATTAGTGCATTAAAAAATCATTAAAGTCATTAATTAAGTTTCAGCTCAGACCCCACGCTTAATATGTCTCCCCCTGGCCCACCTACATTTCTCCAGGCCCACCCACACAATAATTCCTGGCTACGCCACTGCCCTGAACTTCTCAAGTAAGCCAAGTCTGCTACATACCAAGCACTAAAGTGACTGGACATTGTATGACCAATTTTCGTGAAAAATACAAAAAGTGATGCAATATATTAAATACATGGTTTATACCTGTAATTACTGTGGTTAAATTTCTTCTGATTACCTCATTTGAGCGTGCACATTTTCCACGCGCAAACCTACCTCTTTTGGATTTGGATTGGAAAGGTTGGCATGTATGAGAGAGACTAATTTATGGCAACACAAAATAAAATATGGGAGCGGTGGAGATGAGGAGGTGTCGGCGTTCTGGCGATTTACTCGGAAGGCTTCAGTAGAAGCCGGTCCCCAACTCCGGGACTTCTGGCCAGGGACTTCGGGTGGCAGTATACACCGTGAAGTTGTTTGCGGCCTGCCAGTAAACCCAAAGCAGAAGAAGAAGAAGTGACGTCGGCGGTTTCATTTGCCTAATCCTCCCCCAGGGACTTATTCCGGTGTGAACGCGATCTGTATTTAGTTCATGAGAACTAAAGAGTTCTGATGAACCTTTGTGGGAAAAGTACTTTGTCGTACTTCTTTCCCAGTACTTAGTTCCCAGTACTTCGCCAGAACGCCGACACCTCCTCATCACTCCACCGCTCCCATGTTTTTTTTTGTGTTGCCATAAATTAGTCTCTCTCCGTTGGTGCGCTGGGCTAATGCTAATAATGCTAATGCCAGTAAATACAATGGCGGCTTCACAAAACTTGTCCAAGTTTTACGGGGCGCGGTTTGCAATCCGCCCAGCCAATCAGAAATGGGAACCTTTTTCTCCCATGAAAGTACCTGCTCTCTAGCAGGGACTAAAAAGGACCTGAAAATGTTCATGAACTAAATTCTAGTTCCGGATTTTGCTGGTGTGAACGCAACATTTCAAGAACTATCGGAACTATAATGGGAAAAGTACTCCGGTGTGAAAGCGCCTATTTACATGGTAAGGTTGAAAATGTATAAATTAAATATATTTGCCATCCAAAAATTGTGTGTGAAACTTTAATGGAGTCTACGCAGAGACATTCTTCAGCTTCATGGGAATGTCAATAAGCATAAAATAAACATTCGTACTTACTGTAATCCAGTGTCGAACAAACTCGATAGTATATGTCTCGTTAATATTGAACCAAAGAAGTGGAGCTGATGGTTGTTGAATTGCACATCACACAAGCAAATTTTAACAAGCTAAGCATTGAATTTACAAAAGTACACAGCATCATAATCACATAAAGGCAATGTGGAATCTGCTTATATTTCATATTGTTCTGTTAAATAACATGTTAGTTTAAATTGTCATACAATTGATAGTATTCAGAACACACACACACACACGCATGCAAGCATGCACACAATAAGTAATATATTACCACTGGCATACAAACAGTTGCATCCTGATTTAAAAAGTAAATCGTCAACGATGCTGTGAATCATACAAAATAGCAACAGCACATCTAACTGCACATTTAGACATCTAAAAAACAATGGGAAAAAAGTTCCCGCCATTTATAATCTCAGGAAAAAAACAGCTAGGTTAACGTGAAGAACTTTGTTCCAAAATTATTAGAAAACATTTTATATTTACAAAATGAAAAAGAAATAAAAAAAGATTCTAGCAATGTTCAGACTTGAAGTCACAGATATAAATCATTTCATATATTTTGAAGTACATATGGAAATTGGTAAGTACGACTTATTTTAGCCTTTTTTGTTGTATTTTCGTGTAGGATCTGATATTTCCTTCTATATTGAAGAACTTAATAAGAACTTATTTTTTAAGCAGAAGCTTGAAGATAACAAAACCAAACTTTTGATCAGAGTCATGATCTTCTTTCAAGTTATATCAAATGTAGGAACCATACTGAACCACAGAGGCCACAAACACAGTAAAGACGTGATCCTTCTTCTTGCCTTTTTAGATTTAGTTTTTCATCGTTCTGTTTTTTATAACCTCCTGTAAAATAGGCAAGTTGCTGCAGTGATAGAGGGATGTTAAAATAGTTCACACATGGAGATGGCTCATAGTTATGAAACATCATAGCGTTTGTCAAATTTGAGTCATTATCTCACCCAATTAGATTTCAAAAGATGTACGAAAAACAAACCATGCAGCTTGTTAAGGGGTTTAAAACTCCTAAAATTAAATGTATCATTCATGAATCAGACATTTCTGTCATCCGTGTTCAGAAGCGTGCAGACCAATGCAATGGCTGAATGAAAAAAGTTGAAAATGTCACCATCACTGAAAAGGTTCAGTCGTATTTACACCCAGAAAGTCCCATGTGTTAGGTTGTGTTAAACCACCACAGCAGCTCTGATGCAGTTACAGATACTGTCCCATGCTCCTTTGATGCCCACCTCCAAACTCAGGCTGCCTGCGGCCCGGGACGGGCCCCCTGGCTGGGGGACCGTCCCTCTGGACCAGGCTCTCTCTCAGCTCCTGGACCTCCAGGGTCAACTGCTCAACCAAAGGGAGGGCGGAGGGCTCCACCATCTGCCTCTGGAAGTCCTGCAGAACACACACAAGGGCACTTTGATATGCATGTGCACATAATCAACACAACATACTGTATTGGATTAATAGGTGAAAAGGGGCAGCTGCATTTTAAAAGCAATTGGAAGTTAAACTTTTTGGTTTATTTTGTTGCCTTAAATAACTACTAAAGATGCTCCCAAAGAGGTAAATATTTTTGTGAATGTATTTTATTGGTGGCATAGTTTCTCATTTGGAGACTAGATTTTGGTGCGGAAGTACTGTGATGATTTCATTTAGGCATGTCAGAAAAGTAAAAAGTATCTACTAGTGTCTCGAAGTTCAAGGTGACGTCTTTAAATGGCTTGTGTTCAGAAATGTAGTTTCATATGTCATCATATGTTATTACAAACATACTGACATTTAAAATATTCTGATAATTTTGCATGACAAATAACAATTTGCTGACGATGTCAATAAATTAATGGATAAGCTGACTAATAGACTAGTGCACCACTCATTTTTAACATGATACTAATATTTCATTTAAGTATCACAGCCATTGGTTTACCAGTATATTGCATTTTCTCTCATTTCAGTATTGTCTTCTCATACAAAAATATACTGTATGTAAAGATTAAATTACAAATATCACACTGACCCTGATGATCTCTTCCTTCCCCTGCAGCCTCCTGCTGAGGGCCTCCTCCCTGCTGGCATGACTCCTGCTCAGCTCCTGGCTCTCCCTCTCTCTCTCCCTCTCCCTCCTGAGAGCCAGACGCAGCTCCTCCTGCACCGCCTGCAGCTCCACAGCCGAGTCCGAGTCCGACCCCCACCCTACCCCCGAGCTCAGCTGCCTGCGGAGCTCCATCAGCCGCCCCGCCTGCTCGCCCAGCACCTCCCCCAGCCGGCTCCCAGAGACCTGGACAGAGATTTGAGTCATTGTTGTATCCATCGACAGCTTCATATTGACTGTAAGTGATTGTACTGAGCTTCTCCACTATACCTGAATGTACTGGTCCCTGGAGCTGATGGTCCGGAGCAGATCCTGGACCTGCTCATGGTGCTCTTTCGCCTGCTGGGTGCGGTCGGCTAGAACTTCCTGGAACAGGCGGTCTTTGAGCTGGAGGCGGATCTTCAGCTCCTCCAGAACATCGCTGGGAGCTGATTGGATCTGAGCCAGCAGAGAGCAGCGCATGTCCTGCAGAGGAGAGAGGAAGAAACATGAAAACAGAGATAGCGAATCATAAGAAAATCCCATTCAACAAATGTTAAATATTACCTATTAAGATAATTATTTATTGAAACATGTTTTATAACTTTTAAGATTTTTTTTATTTCAGATTCAGTTTATTTTGAAAATATTAATTTAAAATATTAAAACTGTGCCATGTAGGCTTTTGGCTTTCATTGCATGTTCTGTTATTGTGGTATTATTTATATTGTCATTTGTAAATGTGTGTTCTAATAATCTCAATATTCATGTTTTATTCTTGCTGTTCACAAGCCAATATGAATGTTCATCTGCAGTAGTAAGAAAGATGTATTATCTCAGTATGAGTCTTAACAAGGTCACAAATGATAGTCCTTTGGAGCGTTTTCGCTTCCTAAATATTTCTGTCTCTGTAGTGATTGCTAATCATAGGATTGTACTAATAATGACTACCATGACACTTTGACCTCAGTAACACACCAAGTGAAAAAGTCGAATTTTTCTGCAGTCAGGAACTGATTATAACTGATATATAGGTTTTAGTACACCCATTTCCTTTGTAACTTCCTGTGTACCTGGGCCTCCTGCGAGCGAGCGTGCAGCGCCCCCTGCAGCTGACCGATGATGGCGTCTCTCTCTCCCAAGATGCCGCTCTGTCTCCCTGCGCTCTGCTGATGCTGCCGCTGCATGTTCCTCCAGGCGTCACACACCTGCTCCAGCTCCAGAGCTTTCCCCCGCAGCAGCAGCTCCAGGCTCTGACACGCACAGAAGCATCAATGAGTGATTGGTTGCAGAGAGAGAGGAAAAAGAAGAAGAGTGTGTGTGTGTGTGTTCTTACAGTGATGGTCTCCTCGTTGTTGGACAGCACGCAGCGCTGTCTCTCCAGGTCTCTCTCCTTCTCTCTGAGCAGCAGCCGGAGCCGACGGGTCTCCTCCTCCTTCTCCTCCACGCTGCGGAACTTCTCGTCTACTGCTCGCTTGGGATTGGTCAAAAGCACCAATCATTATCACAGAACATGACAGTATAGGTCTGAGCATTAATAAACTGCAGAGGATGGGGTTTTGACCTGAGAGTCTTATCTTACATTGAAGAGTCCTCCATAAGGAACACACATTCTGGATTTTTAAATATCAATGGGGATTTTATGATAAAATAATTGCGAAACAAATTCATTAAATATATATACATATATATATTCCTAAATAAAGGTTAAAGAAGACAGAGGCACTAATTTAAAAAAGTTCATAACTTACTAGAAAAATAAATATGGTGTTAACTTTTATAGCATTATCTAATGTAATTGTGATGCTTGGCACTAAGAATAGACAGTTGTGACATGATATTGTACACAATAAATTAAAGGTCACATATTAGGCAAGACGGACTTTTTCCTGGCTTTTAAACATAAGGATTTAGTGGGTGTGTGTGTGTGTGTGTGTGTTGTTTACCTCCAGAGCTCGGTCTCTCTCCTTGATACGCTGCCGGAGTTTCTGAAGCAGAGAGTCTCTCTTCTCCTTTGGATCCTCCAGCAGCTCACAGTAGTCCTAAGAGAAGGAAAAAAAACTAGATTTAGAATACTTTTAGCAGAAACATGAATACAAAAAACACCACTTTAGAGGAAGTGAAATCATCAACCTCTTATGAATTAAATCTTGTATTTCAGAGGAACTTGAGCTTGCTAGCTTTAGTCTGTTATGAGAATCATGCAAAGTGTCTGCAGAATTAACTCCTGGGATGTGCCCTCTGTATGAATCCTGTTAATGTGTGCAGGTGTGTGTGCAGTATATCTGAGAGCATGAAGCAGCGTGAGTGTGTCTGACCTGCATCAGCTGCTCTTTGGTCTGCAGGGCCGTCCTCAGCCCTGTGAGGGTCTTCTGTCTCTCCTCCTCCTGTCTTTGCCTCTCTTGCTCGCCCTCCTTCAGCTTCTCCTCTCTCTCCTGCAGGGCCAACCGGGCCTTCTCCAGAGCCAGCTGCAGATCCTGAGCCACACACACACACACACACACACACACACACACACACACACACACACACACACACACACACACACACACACACACACACACACACACACACACACACACACACACACATCAAATCATCAAATCAAAGGGCTAGGAAGCAAGGTGATCTTTTAGATAACACTACTGATGCATTTGTTCTGATTATGCGACATATGGGGGTATATGTCTCGTGGGGTAAATGGGTGTCTACCACTCAGAGGGTCAATGGTTTGCTCTCAATCCCCTGATGTCAACATGTGAAGTGTCCTTGTGCACTGAACCTCGTTTATGGGCTTGGTATTGAAGTGTATGTATGTTGCTTTGGATTAAAGAATCAGCTAAATGATACTGGTGTAATATCCTCACCTGGTTGTGTCTCTGGGTCTCCCTGCGGTGCTGCAGCGCCTCCTGCAGGTCGGTCTCCAGCCTCTGCAGGGCTCGGCTCAGGTCGTCCTGCGCCCTCACCGCCTGCCGCTGCACCCTCTCATCCGCCTGCAGCTCCAGCTGGGCCTGGAAGAGAGACGCCTGCAGAGCCAGAACCTCACCCTGACCCCGGACACTGTCTGCACCCAACGCCTGGAGGAGAACACAGAGCGAGGCGGAGGAAGAGACGGACACACACAGAAGGGTAGAGAGGGACGGATTCAAAGAAAATCAAAATTAGAAACAAGTAAAGACACTATATTATTGTATTTTATTTTTTCTAAAGCTACATTTGGTATCAATCAGTGTCAGCATGGAGGACAAACCTGCAGCTGCTGCAGCTGGTTGCGGTTGGCGAGCTCTTTGAGAGAACACAGCATCTTATTTTGTTCCTCAATCACCCGACACAGCTCTGCAGCCTGCGAAAACACACATATACAAACACAGCTTAGATAGGAAACAGTGCGTTCTTTGTTCATTTTCCCATTTGACATTCTGCTGTGTTCAATCTTTTCAGTTTTTGTTTAAAACTCTGCCTTCTTGTCTCCTATCCCAGTATTGGTCTATATGTCTATCTATACATTTCTATACCTCTGCCTCCTTGGAGTTGGCAGTATCAGCGATGTTCTGGATGTTCCTCTCCTGTCGCTGGGCTTCCTCTTGGGCCGAACGCAGCTCCAACTCCATCTCAGCGAGCCGCTCCTGCAGCTTCTACACACACAGTAGACTCAGTACAAAACATCACAGAGATCTGCCATAAAGAGTTATGATCAGATGGAGGAGGAGGTGGCACCTGGTTCCTGGTCTCGCTCTCTCTGATCTTGGCCTGCAGTGAGTGGACCTGGTCCTGGGCCTTCTGCAGCTCGCCCACACACTGACCCGCGGCACTCTCATACTGACTGAGCTGACCCTGCTGCTCATCAATCAGCCTCTGGAAGACAAAGGAGCAAAATAAATGTCAATAACAATGAAAACGTGTAGGAGTTGTACTGCAGAGATGATTTAGTGGTGAACACATGTTACTGTGTGTTTCCCTGCAGCTGTGTGTGAATGATTGAGTGAAAGTAGAAAGTGATGTCAGTTTCCTGTTGGGTGACTTCCTGTTGAAACGGCTGTTGCCTGGGCAGCATGTTGTTGACTTCCTTGTTTTTGTATTTGTTTTTAGGATCTATGTAATGCTGTGATGTCATTATGCCCTAGGGGAGTCAGCTGTGTGTGTGTCCTTTTCTACAGCTGTTTCAATTTAACTAATACAGTCAGACTGTACAACGGGAAAAATATTTGAAAAACAAATAGTCTGTAACACCTTATTTTATTATTATTCATAATAAGGAATAAAGTAACTGTATGTAAGCGCTCCACTTTAGATCCCCATACTGCATACATTTGAGATTTCTAACCTATTATATTGTACTTTTATTTTTTGAATATATATATTTGGTGTAAATATTTATCAATTTTATAATGTTAAAATTATTAATAGTCATTTTTCCCCGTTTTCTTATGTTTCCTTCTTCTCTTACTGTGTTTTATGTATGCACCACACACAACAAAGCAAATTCCTCGTCTGTGTAAACCTACATGGCAATAAACCTGTTTCTTATTCTAATTGTTTTACTTATTATAAATATCTAATTCACACCGTTGATAGGGCTATGGTACAGCCGGGTATATTGTTGTATAATAGAATAGAGTCTGTTCCCTCCTGGCACACTGAACCACATTTCACAGTAACCATTAACATAACAATAGAAGTTATGATGCTGTATCAGACTCTTCACACGGTCTGACAGTGGCACCGCTTTGAGACTGTACCCATGGCAACAGTAGTGTTGCTAGGATACCGAAGGAGTATTTATGCTCCCAGAGAGAGTAATCAAGGCTGCGTTCAGCTTTGTCAGCGGAGGAGATGAGTAAAACAGAAAATCCAGAGAGATTTTACCCTCGATGGCGGGCGCACAAAGAAGGAATTAGTTGGTGAACCTTCTTAAAAGGG